TATGAAGGTTAAATGCAAAGTGCTTTAACGTCTGGAAGACACTGGAGAATGTAGGCCTCTCCAAGTCTAGCAACCTGCCTTGCAAGGATGCACCAAAAGCACGTTGTGAAAGACCCTGGCCCAGTCTAAACAGGCAGCTGAGGCTTATGGAAAATTCCGTTCCCCCACAGCTGCATAGTCATTGCCTATCAGAAGGGAGCTCAGCCCAAGGACACAGGCTGGGTGCCAAACAAGATATCTGAGAGCGGCCGGATGGCCAGCTCAGCAAGGACACAGAGATATCTGCGGGCGACCAGATGGCCAGCTCAGCACACACAGAGACCTATTGTTCCTCAGATAGGGCCAAGACTTGAGTTCCAAGAAAAACCTCAATTGCCCAATCAGGGTCCTGTTACTAGGCTTCTCGCTTCTGTACTGCGCTTTTTGCTATAAAAGAACCCCTGAGTCCCCAGCTCGGGGCGCTCAGTTCCCCGAGACTGAGACGCCCGGGTACCCGTGTGTTATCAATAAAGCCTCTTGCTGTTGCATCCAAGCTCGTGGTCTCAATGTTCCTTGGGTTTGGGTCTCCCTTCCGTGAAAGTATCCCTTTTGGGGTCTTTCAGTTGTTGCTCACTACAAACGTTTCTGCACACAGTTCCCTGCTCCTAATGCTCTGAGCAGATGCAGCCCACAGAGCAAAGTTATTCAAACGCCTGTGCCTGGGTCCAGGGAGTTGCACCGACCGCTTGGGAACTCACTGGACAGGGAATCTGGCTAGATTCCCACTCAGTCCCGGGGAGTCCCGCCACACGAGCTCCCGCACCTCCCCATCCACTGTTTCTCATCCGGGGACAGCAGCCCCTCGCTCACCATGTCGTGGCCTCCCAGCTCGCCCATGGTCCCCTCACAGCTCCCTGCACTCGCAGTACAGCACACCCACACGAAAACACCAGCGCCTGCTGCTCTGCAAAGCCAAGCGAGCAGCCAGGCTCCCGGAAGTGCCCTGCACCACTTCTGACGGACAGTTCGGCCTGGAGGTCCTGATTGGCTGGTGATGAGAGCACCTCTCTTAGGACTAGAGTGTGTTTAAAGGTACAGCACAACGGTTCCTGACCTTGCCTTCTACCCCAGATCCAGACCTTTTCCAGATTTGCAGAGATATGTATTTAACACTTTCACCTGCCTCCAAATGCTGACCCTGTTATCTTCCTGAACTCTGTAGGCACTCCCCGTTCTTCCTCCTGGACACTTTATGACTAGCTTGCACAGCCCTTTCCTCAATGTGGAGTGGAGAGGTTTCCTGTTCCACGGGTGGAAGGGTGCCCAACATATTCATAGTTTTAAAGAGAAACTTAAAGACACAAAAAAAATGTTTGTTCTCTGGCTTCACGCTTAGGTCAGGTGAACTGAAGGTACTTTTTACCTGTGAGTCACAGGTACTTTTTACCTGTGAGTCACAGGTACTTCAGCGAACCAGAAGAAAAATGCAGGAACCAGGTAAGAAAACATAATGATAGATCTGTTTCCCACAGGCTGGATGGTGGCTCCATTGCATTCGAAGTTTTCTTCCGGAATTCAGGGCAACCTCTTGACAAATGAACAATAAAAAGAGTAGTCTTCACAGTAAGATGAATACTTAGAGAATAATGGAGCAAGGAAGAATGTCTTATTATTACTATTATTATTATTATTATTGAACTTTATGTACAAAATCATTTGATTTCAAATAAACATTTAATGTAAAAACAAACGTTTCTTTTAAACTGATTTTTACATCTATTGTACCATTCAAATGCTTTATCATCTTACATGATTTCTTCAAAATCTGTTATCAAGGGTGCACATAGAAAATTTTTTAATTAATAGAACAAAGGGTTTTTCAGTTTTTATTATAAGATGACATAAAAAGTTTACTCAACAGAAGTAATTTCATTTACTATTCAGGGGAGGGAAATCACCATTTTTTTTTGCAAACAATGCTAGCCTTCTTTTAAGCATTAAGAGCATAAATGTTTAAGAAATGACATAAGCAATAATTTCTTTATGCACACTATTGTTAACCAGCACACCTTCCTCAGTGGGCAGGTGAAGAAGGAAAAAAAAAGCACACAGCTGAATTATTCAAGGTTCTCTACACCCACAGGTCTGGTAAAGGTCAATCTGCCCATGTACGTAGAAACTGGAATGTCTCACAAGCTGTAGTCCAGGAAGTCCAACAAGGGCTGTCTACCAATGAAAATTTAAAGAATCCAGTAGTTGTTCAGTCCATGAGGCTGGATGTTTCAGATGGTCTTCAGTATACACTAAAATTCCAAAGAAGTTTGCTCTAATGAGAGACAGTAAAGGAATGAACTTGGTAGTCAGAGTTAGGGCAAGCAGGCAAAGACAGAGAACATCCTTCCTCAATACCCTTTATATATGCAAATTGCTATCAGAAGATGCAATTCAGATTACAGGTGGATCTTATCCTTTGCTTGATTGTTTTTTTTTTGTGTGTGTGTCTTTGAGACAGGGTTTATCTGTGTAGTCCTGGAACTCATTCTATGCACCAGGCTAGCCTCAAATGCAGAAAAGTCAACTGCCTCTGCCTCCTGAGTTCTGGGATTAAAAGTATGCACTGCCACTGAAGGTAGATCTCATCACCTCAAATAATCCAGATTAAAGATGGGTCTTTAATTTCAAAACCATTTAAGAATTCTCTCACAGTGTACCCAACTATTTGTGTTTTAGTTAATTCCAGAGTTAAGCAGTTTGTCTACCAAGAAGAGTCCTCACTATAGCCAAGACAGAGAGCTAAGAAAGATTTCCTACCTGCAGGAGGCAGGGAGAACATGAGAGTCATTTCCAAAACAATGTTTTTCTTAAACAAAGGATTCATGAGGCTTTTACTTAGGGAGTCTGGACACATTCACGTAGAGCTCTGCTTATTCCTAAGCATCCTCAGTTAGCAAATCCAGCTCTGAACAGGATCACAATGTAAAAGCAAGGACACTTGGGGATCTTCTTACCTCAAAGTATGGGAATAATGGGAAAAATTCCTCTGGCATGTTCATCTTGTACCAAAAGGTCTCAGCTGAAAACCAAGGAAATTACTGTGCAAGTAGAGTACTTTGGAGCCTATGCTACATGTCAACCTTTACGTTTGATCTAAAAGATAACTGTACCAGTACCAAAATTGTAACAGATACAAATGATAGAGAGCACAAATACACAAAATGTCAAGGAAAAGTCACCTAACAGCACTGTATACTCTGCTCTTAGATGAATGGTTATATTGAGCTCTACTAACCTCAGAACAAAGCTGCCTCTGAGCAGGCTGGTTCACAGGAAGGTTACAGCTGCTTCCATGCAAGAACAGAACGAGTTCATTTTAACTAGCCCTAACTGCTGTCTGTCTCAGAGCTGTGACATCACTGTAGAGAATTCTTTTTGAAACATTTTTGTAAATTTTAGCTATGTGGCATTTTTTCTGAATATGCCTGTGAACAGTACCCACAGTGGCCAGAAGAAGGCATGACGCACCTGGGACTAGAGTTATAGCATATGGTTAGCTAGAATGTGAGTTCTGGGACAGGAACCTGGATCCTCTGTAACAACACCCAGTGCTCTTATCTGCTGAGCCATCTCTCTAGCCCCTCTTTTTTATTAATTTTTTTCTATAAATTTTAAATTAAAACATGTTATATTAATTTCCCTTTTTGTTCTCCCTCCATTCCTTTACACATACTTCCCTTCCAACTTCTTCCTTGCTAAGTATATATGAATAAGTATACTGAAACATAGGACTATATCCCGATGAGTCCATTTTGTTATTTGTATGTATATGGTTTAAAGGCTGTCGATGTTGTATTTAGGGAACTCATTCCTGCCTGAAGATAATTCTCTCACATGAAGGAGAATTTCACTTTTTAATCATCAACAAGTATCTGAGCCTGACTAGGCTGCCTTACACAGGAAATATAATCAAGAACAGAAAACTTGGATTGGAAACTACTTTAAAAGTACTGAATAATCTTCCTGAGTACCCAGTTTCCATTCCCAGTACCTACAGAAGCTTACTACTATCTGTAACTCCAGTTATAGGTGTTCTAAAACCATTTTCTGGTCTCCCTGGTCACAAGGTATGAATAGGGTACAAAGACATGCATAATGGAAAAAAACACATATGCATAAAATAATGACTGAAATTAGATTTGTTTTTAAAAAGCCACAACAAAATATCATAAGAAGAGATGACTTGCAACATAAAACTTATTTTTCAAGATGTGTGGGGTTGTACATTCTTTCAATACAAAACTCCAGACTCAGAAGCAAGAAGATAACTATGAGTTTTAAAACATGTGCTACATAGACAACATCAACACACATATACCAAATACACAGTGTTAAAAAAACAGCAAAAAATTGAATAATAATAACAGGAGGTTAGGGGCAATATCTCTTAAAGCCGTTTCAGGTGTCAGCCACTGGACCCTGTCAAATTATTCTCAGAAATGAATATATCTGGGCACAGTAGAAGAACCAGGTCGATCATAAATTCAAGCCTGCTTAGCCTATATTGTGAGTATGATAGTAAGACATGTCTAAATAACAAACAATAACACACACACACGCACACACGCATGCACGCACTGTGCTTTGTTGTTTGAAACAGGATCTTATTAGAAAGCTTCAGCTGCCCTGGAACTCATTATGCTTAGTTTAATTTTATATATATATATATATATATCTTTTAAAAACAAATTATAGTAAATATTTCATTCTACACAGTTGGATCACTATTTAAAGCATGACATTTTTCTATACAAAAGGGAGCTTTTAAGCAGCTCTCTTCATATTTATTTATATTTGAAGAGAACTGAAAGTGGGGGAAAATTTACAATATTTACATGCCTATAGGTTGTTTTTCTTTCATCCAATCATTCTATGAAATCAATAGTAATCTTTTCCTGAACTCTTTTTCTCTTTTAGAAATATTTTAACTAGTTTGTTTGTAAATTGAGCTGTTTGCACATTTTATATTAGTGCTAAGACTCCAACTATGAAAGATGAAACTATGTTTATTAAAGTAAATATCCAGCTACCAATAAACCAATGCATTTTTAAGAATGTCTTTGTATTCTGGCAGATGCAGCGACCCACAACCAACAACTGGGCCAAGTTGCCAAAAGCCCTGTTGAAGAGAGTAAGGAGGAATTATGTAAGTAAGCGGACAGTCTAGGTCATGACAGGGGAGCCCACAGAAATAGGTGAGCTGGGCTGGTGGGAGCTCATGGAGTCTGGACCCACAACTAGGGAGACTGCATGTGACCAACCAGGCCTTCTGTATGTGTGTGACAGTTGTGTAGCTTGATATGTTTTGTGGGGCCCCAGGCTGTGGGATCAGGGCCTGTCCTTGGTGCTTGAGCTGGCTTTTTTGGGAACCATTTCCCATACTGTGTTTCCTCTCCCAGCCTTGATGCAGGGGATGATCTTGGTCCTACCTCAGTTTGATGTGTCATGCCTTGTTGACACCCGTGGGAGGCCTGCCCCTTTCAGAATGGAGAGGGAGTAGTGGATGGCGGTAGAGTGGAGGTGGGGGAAGGGAACAGGAGGAGAGGAGGGAGGGGAAACTGCAGCTGGGATGTAAAATAGATGAAAAATTTAAGTAATAAGCAAAAAGAAGAAGAATGTTTATCTAAAATTGTTGGAAATTTTCCAAGTATTGCATCGAAGTTTTTGGAAGATCACTTTTTCTTATTTTACTGGGATTCAAAAGAGAAGTCATTGAAACACAATTATAGTATTTTTTGTGGTGCTAGCAACAAATTGAGCTAAATAGTTGTAATTGTATGTTTCATAATATACAGAATTAATATACTAGATTCCTAGGTTTTCTATTAACAATACATGGGGACCAACTACATAAGCCTGTGCATAATAGGACTCATTGTTCTTATATCAAAAGTAAATTAGAAATGTATCTCATAAGATGTTCTCTCTGAAGGTTAATGAATCAGGCACTAAGTATTAATGTTCACAAGAAAGTATGATGTTTTCTCCTGTGTTTAAGCTAGGTGAGAAAACAGTGAAGCCATACTATTGAAAAAGGCTAAAGTATAAGTTTGTTTCCACATCATAACTTATTAGAACATGAAATTTTTGGCACTCACCCAAGGCTCCATGATAGATTATGTGAAGTATTCAATTTACATTTATCCCAATGTGGGGATAATGACAAGGTTGCTCCTTGTGCTCCAATTGCACAGAAAGGCAACTGAATCAGAACCCTTATTGCATTGAACATAGTAAAAAAATGACTTTAGACCTGTTAAAAAGCTTAGTCAGGAAATCCACCATACTCAAGGATGCATCCAGTGATATCACTCACTCAACCCAAGCAGATATAGTCCTAGAACCCCATGGCACCTACTGGATAGTCTATAAGCAAAGACCAAGAGAAATGTTCTGCTCTGCACATCTAGAGAGATGTCACCTTGATCTGCCTTGTGTCTAGAGCATCTCTTCAAGGATTCTTACCCTCAAGTCAGAGACTTCTGTTAGAGACTAGACCTGTCAAGATATGTTACATAAGTGAGAAACCTTGGAGACTATATTTAGGAATGTAGAGTGTGAACCTTGCGTTTTTTTTTTGTTTTTGTTTTGTTTTGTTTGTTTGAGACAGGATTTCTCTGTGTAACAGCCTTGGCTGTCCTGGAACTCACTCTGTAGACCAGGCTGGCCTCAAACACACAAAGATCTGCCTGCCTCTGCCTCCTGAGTGCTGGGATTAAAGGCGTGTGTCACCACCATCAAGCTGAGTGTGAACTTCGTGGGATGACCATCAGTGTTGGACCCTTCCCCCATAGGGACTGCTGACCAGCTTGTGACTAGGAGCAAGCATATCCTGCTCCCCTCCTTCCAATTAGGCCTGTATTTAAGTTCCTGTTTTCTGCCCATCCTTTTTGTTTGAATTCAAGTTCCTGTTATTCACCCATCCATATTGCTGGAGAACCCTTGGAATGTGAGCTTCTGACCTTCGTAGTTTTCCACTGTGCCTGCTGACTGGTATTTAATGTTCCCCTCATGTTACAATACACAAGAATGAGCCACTGTCTTTTGTCTTCATTTCTATCCTCAGGCCCTTGCCCAAATCCTTGAGAAGTGTTGTCTGAGATCAGGAGAGAAGGGCAAATGCTGAAGGATCATACTCAAATGCTGGCCAGCAAGTAAGGTAGGAGGGTGTATTTGGCAAGGCGTACCAAGTTAGGCTCCAGCCCTTGCCCGATCCACTGAGGTCGAGAAAGTTAGGGATTTACTGAGA